GCTATCACATTCGATCTGCCGGATTTCTGAGTCTTTCATTTCCAAGTGAGGAGCCAGAATCTTCCAGTGTTCACCCTTTGTTGCCACCTTGAAAGGTTGCTTTCTGCTATGTGCTGCTCTGCCTTAGACCCAGCTGAATATGGACTGAAACTTATAGTAACTGTGAGCTAAATAAACCTTTCTTTCCTTTATTTAGGGTGTTGGGTATTTGTTCCAGCAACAAAAGAGGAGTAACTAAGACACTATCCCTTATAGAACTCTGACAAACAGTGGTTACTCTGCCAGGTATTTAAACACTCTTAGAGCAGCGGCCACTCTCTAAAGCAAAGGACAGGTTTCACCAGCATCATCTCTGGTGAATGCCCACTGAAGCCAAAGGATGATGGAATGATGAGTAGAGAGACAGCTGGATTTTTCTGGAGACTGATCTCTGGTTGTGTGGACCAAAAGTAACTGAGAGCACCTGAGGGGTCATGGCCAGGGTTACTCTCTGGCAGACACCCAAAGGTTCCTCGGTTGAAACAGGCTCCTGACCACTGAAAAAAATCCATTATCCACAAACTAAATTGATGAATCTGGCATGCAGAGAATCCTGTTACCTACTCAAGGTCCTGGGGTAAGACTGCAGAACTGGGATCTACACCCAGGTCTCTTGGATGATAAACCCCATATTGTTAACTCTGCTGGAGTTAAAAAAGTTCTTCACTGTGCAACTTAATATTACCATGATAAAGACAACCATATATTGCTTTTCGAGAAGCATATCCTATAAGCTAATAACATAAAAGGAATATTTAATATTAAATATTAGGTCATTCATATACAATCACTTCATAACATCCAACTAGATTACTTTAGTGATACATCATCATAATCTTTCATATCATAAATTCTACACTGGCCAACTTAGGAAAGGGACAAAGCACAGCACAAGGGACAGTACTGCACTGACCAGAGCACAGAGCCAAAAGCACCCAATGCAGAGCCCAAGTTAGACAGGGTTTTTCAGAGGCAAAAGAGCCCTGTCCTATATACTGGTGCCTGCCAAGCTTTCTCCAAAACTTACTAAGGAGAAGGTGTGTATAGTTCAGCACAAACCTACCAGAAGTATGGAAAATTCACTAAAATACATATTCTATGGGAGGTTTATTTTAGATGATAAATTAATTTTTATGTAAAGATGGAGAATAAGAAAGTCACATTTCTATTACAAAAGTTGTAATTTTCCAATTTCCCACTAGAGGAAGCAATAGCATTACTCTCACCGTTTGGTGGATAAAAGACAGCATATTCTTCTAATCCTAGTTTTCCTGAAAGAGAGGATAACAGAGGATCTCAATGATTTAATAAGATAAAATATTAAAATTACACACTAATAATGGAATTCTAAAAACTACTATAGCTTAATTTAATTTCATTTCATGATATGGAACTAATTTGAAAAACTTCCGGCCAATTTTCTTATACTAGAAAATCCTTTCATGAATTAAAATCAACAATATGTGAAAAAATGCAAGAAAAGGGACACAAATAAACAAAAAGCAAAGACAAGGACCGGCCAGATAGCTCAGTGTACTAAAGCACCTGCTTAGGCAGGTGGAAGGACTGGGGTTCGATCCCTGACATGCAGTGCCAGCCCTGCTGCCAGAGAGCGGTGAGATTGGGACTGAGGCTGGGTGTGGTGGTGCACCCTTGTAATCCCAGCTCTTGGGAGGCTGAAAACAGGAAGATCACTATGAGTCCGATCTGTGTAGTGAGACCCCGTAGACCTAGTACTAAATACATTTTTTAAAAAAGCAAAGACATTCAAAGTCTTTCAGACTTAAGAAGATTCTACTTGTAAGCATAACATTGTTTTGCTAAACATACATTATTCTAATTTATGCATGAAAGCCAGCTCTGCATGTTGCAATAATCTCATTAGCTCACACTTTACTAGCATGTGCTTACAAGTTAGAAATTAAATGTCTTCAACTGTGTGGCGATCATATTTTCTGAATCCTAAATAGTTCATATGGTCAGAGAATGTGACTAAATATTTGAAATCAGAATCTTTCTAGAAAAGTAAAGAATATTCATCATAATCAAATATTTAACAGATTTTTAATAGTAGCTTCCTCTCAAAATTTTTAGAAACAAGATTTATTTATTCAAGGGACTGAGAAAAAAAGATGTCCTCATTGAATTTTATACTTAGCAAACATACCTTTGAAAACAAAAAGTAAAATATTTTCCAGTTATACAAACTCAAAACCCCTCAAAATTTGTAGTTTTCAGATGTTCCCACCTTTCACAGAATATCTTCAGGTAGCTTTTATCTTGACAGTCTTGAAAAGACATTCATTCTTGTACAGGGTTTTAAAGTAAACTTTTTATATTAAAAAAACAAATAACTTCTGTTTTATTTTTGGTTCAGTGGCAGAGGAGACAGGGAGAACAAGCGTGCGCCGTTTAGGTGAGTGGGAAAATGCCAAGGCCTGGTCCTTGTGTAAGGAGACATGGACTAACGACAGGCAGATCAGTGCACTATTTAGGTCTCTCATCTAGCTGTAGAGACAAAAACAAAACGTATGTAGTCTACAGTCCATCTCTATGTCATTTATAATCTAGACTAAACCATGAAAACTTAGAGTTTGCTAACTTTTTTCTTTTTAGTGGGTTTTAACAAGGAGATGTAGGCTACTTTTTCAAGGACCTATGCATTTTTAGGGTGGAGGAAACAGGAAGCCTTTCATAGAGAGGAATATGGAGACTAAAATGCACATACCATACCGTGGAATAATCAAAGAAGCAAAGTTAGCACAGTAGACTGTATTAGCTGACAAAAGGCCTTAAACTGGGTGAGCTTATGGGTGAGCCCAAATAGGTAATTAAATCCCACACTCAGTTTTTCAGGAGGTTTCTTTTAAGTTCATTTTAGAAGCGATGGAACTAAGCGCCCTCAGTTGGGTGGAGCCTGATTGCAGCCCAAGGCGGTAAAGCTGCCATAGGCAGGACTTGGAGCACAGATGGCTCAGCTTCAGGAACTACAAAGAGCCCCTTCTTCCTGGAGATAGCAGAAGGAACATGTGCAGTGATGGCGAGTCTGCTTGTCTGTTTGTTTGTTTGTTTGTTTATTTATTTATTTATTTATGCTTTTTGAGCTTTCAATAGCAAACAGGCTGTGACATGAGTGCCACAGGTTTGTCACTCCTGGATGGGGTAATGAGCTTTCTGCACTGATGTTCACAGCTTAATGAAAAGAAGCTAAAAGGGCTGTCAGCTGAAGTTAGTTCAGTTTTCAGGTGATGGCAGAAGGCACTAACACAGAAACCAGAGAGCTAAAGCACAGATCTTAAATCAAAATTTTAAGCGTGACAGAACATTTTGAGAAAAGAAATAAAAAGTTTAAGACATTTAAAAACCACACCCATGTGATACATTGATAGTTGGAAGGCAAAAGTCAACAAAAATGACAAAATGTTAATACAGACAGCAAACAGAGAAGACAAAAGGCAACCCGAATTCTGCTTCTTGGAAGCATTTAACTGTGATTTGTGATAAGTTGCTTGGGCCCTGATTTAAATGATGGCAAAAGAATGGAGGTCATCTGAGAGAAATCTTAATTCACAATTAAAAAAATGAGTAACATGAATACAAACTATAAAATAAGTGTTCTTGGATTTGGCATTATCTCAAATAATACTTTCTTAGAATTATTAAAATATTACCTCTTATGTATGATTTCGGTGGTGAAGCACTGTTGTATGCAAAGTGGGCCAATACAGACGTATCCCGGGAAAAACAAAGTAATACCTAAGTATAATATGAGGAAAATTAAGCAATTAGAAGCTGTTATAAAACCAGATAATGGGGCCAGGGATATAGCTCAGTGGCACAGCACCTGCCTAGCAAGCACGAGGTCCTGAGTTCTCTTCCCGGTACCAAAACAAAACAAAACAGACAATGTGTTGCCATTTCCTACTTGGGAAGTACTGAGGCAGTGGAGGGCTCAAGCTCTGCACTGGGCCCTGCACAGGAGAATGCGCCTTATTGGTATGCCCACACTGACTGTTAACAGTGCGGCACCAAGCACAGGTAGTCAACATTCTTCCAAAGATTTCTACTGTTGGCCACTTACACTTTGAACAATAGGAAGCACAAATTGATAAGTACCAGTTGATTCTTTTCTGTTTTATCTGGAAATGAGAAACATCTAGGTCACAGTGGTGGCAAACCTATGGCATGCGTGCCACAGCAGGTTGTTTGTATCCCTGAAAACTCTAAAAAGCTTGCCATCACTGACCTGGGAGAAGGTTAATAGATGAGAGATGTACAGGGCAGATCCTACGTAACCAGAGTGGCATGGATCTGTTTGGGAAGTAATGCGGAACTAAACTCATTGCTGGGGTGCAGCAGGCTGGTAGACATGTGAGGAATGGAGGGAAGGTGACAAGGTATTTGGAAGGCATGACGGCAGCTTTAGAACAAGTGGTTGCCCAATATGCTACAGGAGCTGCTTGTCCTGATCTGCAGGTAGGATGTGGCAACTCGACCTGGAGATGCAAATAGGTGGGGGACAATAGGATGAAGGGTGCCCAGTCAGAGAAGCTGGACTGCCCTGGAGTTTTGGGGCAGTTGTCCAATCCCAAGCAAATGAATAATGACAAGAAACCTGGGTCCTGGTACTGGAAGACTTGGGATTCTACAGATGTTACCATGAAAATAATTCATGACTGGAAAAAGAAAAACGGGTGCAAAGTTAGGGTTGGGGTGGCATTAAGAATGAATGGGGAATAAAACACTTTTGTACCTAAGACACAAGGAGAGGCTCATTTTTTTAGAAGAATAAACAGAGATGTGGCTTAGGCTCAGTGGTAGGATGTATCTACAATGGTCCCACATATCACTAATCTGGTATTGTTTTAAAAGAACGCATATGTAATATTTTAGGATAAAAAATTAGGAATGTAGATGATAAAAATGGATAAAACACCCAGAATCATACCAGCATTAATATGAAGATTTATCTCAGACTGCTTTTATACAAATATACAAAATTTTCTAACACAAGGACTATGAATAGTTTTATAAATTATTTTGTCTCACAGTTATAAAAAAATTCTCCCCTAGTACACTTTGCAGATTACACTTTACAGATGAATAATTATATAACCTGTCTCCCTGTTGATTATGTAATTATTTCTACTTTACCCCAATTATAAGTGATGCTTTAATGAACTTCTTTATGTATTTACAACTTTATTGCATTTATATTTCTAAAATTGTACCATCTGTCTGGTCAAATGATGCAGACATTTATTTTATTTTATTGTTCGCCTTTTTTTGAGACAAGGTTTCACTGTATAGTTCAGGCTAGCCTTGCACTCACTTTGTTCACTTGAACTCACCCAGGCTAGCTTAGAACTCAGAGCAATCCTCCTGTCTCAAGCCTCCCAAGCGCTGGGGTTACTGGCATGCTTTCCATGCCTGGCTTCCACAGGCCTTTACAGTTAATCCTTAATACATATTTACAAATTGGTCCCTTAGAGGTGGGGATTTTATTTTTTGTTTGTTTGTTGATACAGCCATTTTCTTTTTTTATGAGAACAGGTTATCATCATACAGGTAAAACATAGTGTCTTCCTTTATTTTTTATTTATTTATTTTTTATTTTATTTTTTTAATTGGGAATTGAATGCAGGACATTGTACTTGCCAGGCAGGTGCTTATTCTTCTTGTTCTTGTTCTTGTTTTTGTTGTTGTTGTTGTTGTTGTTGTTGTTGTTGTTGTTGTTGTTGTTCTTCTTCTTCTTCTTCTTCTTCTTCTTCTTCTTCTTCTTCTTCTTCTATTTTAGGGAAGGGTCTACAGGGTGTTTAATGCACCTGTTTACAGGGTGTTTAGGGTCTCAGTACGACATTGGACTTGTAATGATGCACCTGTTTACAGCCTCCCAAGAGCTGGGATTACAGGTACGCACCACCACGCTCAGTCTCAATTGCCATTTCAGCCGGCACACAGGCCTGGGGATCAAACCCCCAGCCCCTACACCTGCTTACAGGCAGGCAGGTGCTTATGCTGCTGAGCTATATCCCCAGCCCACTGGCTTGCTTTAATAATTTGCAGTGTTTTAATTGCTAGTGGATTAAACATTTCCATTTGCCTTTTTGCTATTTTCTTATTCATTTTGGTCCTTTAAAATATATTTCAAAAATTAATAGTTGAGGGCCAGCCAAACAGTTCAGCGGATTAAAGCTCTTGCTTAGGCAGATGCAGTGGCAGGGGTTCAATCTCCAGCATACCATACAATTCCCACACCCCTGTGCACTGAGATGGCAATTGAGACTGGGCATGGTGGCACGTGCCTGTAATCCCAGCGCTTGGAGGCTGAACACATGTGGAGTACAAGTCCAATCTACGTCGTGAGATCTTGTAGTCCCTGTACTAAAATTTAAAAAAATTACTAGTTGATTACATTTTCATGAATGATTCTCATTTTTCATCTAATTGCATATATTTATAATTCACTATATATTTATGTACCTAGTACATGTGTGTAGATGCACATACGTTCAGATGTTTACATGCTAGGGATTGAATACAGGGCCTCAAGCATGCTAAGCATGTGTTCTATCATTAAGCTACACTCTCAGCCCTGAGTCTAATTTTATTTTGCAAATGGTTTTCCTCAACTAATATGTTAATTCTTTTGATACAATGTTTAAAATTTTTGCATGTTTAAGTCTACCTTACTTCCTTTTCCACTTAGGAATTAATCCCTCTCCGTATTTGTTTCTATATAAATTTTCATAAACTATGAAAAGCATTGATGCTGCTCATTACATATTTCCAGTCCCTCTCCTTTGGGAACACGTATATCAACCAGCCTTTTCAGGCCATGTGGTATTCTGTGTGGCCATGGAACTTGCTCTTTGCTTAATAAACTATCTATGCATCCCTTCAGCATTTCCAACAGAAGCCTGTGGTGACTTTTAATGTTAGTGGAGTGGGGAGTCACCACATGCTTTTAAGCAGAAGAGTGAAATGATTTAACTTATACTTCATAAGTAGGTAAGGGAAGAATAAGGGTGAGAGGGAGGTAAAGAGGGTGAAAAATGAATTGAGATGTGTTTTGTACGTGTTCCAACTCCCTACACGATGTAAGCATTATATAATGTGAAAATACCACTATACTAAGAGGTGAACTTGGCCATTCAACCACAATACCATCTAAACCTTATCCTGAAAGCTACAAGACTTCAGTAGTCTCCAGAGTTCCCAAATAGCTATATTCATTCATACTCTGTCAGTACAACTGTTATCTAGGTGGAAAGGGACCTAGATTAGTGGTGTATCTATCACTTTTACTGTTTCAGTACTTCCTAGAATCCACTTTTTAACTAATTCTTATAACACCTCTATGAGGTATCTTGCTTTCGTTATGAATAAGCAGTCACAGAGCCCAAGGACATGGAGCAGACATCAAGCTGAGTCTGTCCATTATCAAAGTCAGGTAAGTCACATTGCCCTTTATGAAAATTTAAATCAGGGAAGAGTGTTTTTAAAAGGCTATCTTGAAATTTTATTATTTGAAATTCTTCAGAGTGATTTGGAGAAAAATGCAAGTGCCTCACAAATGAAGAAAGTCTATAGCATTTTTCATGAAAGTGACGGTCCAGCTGATATCTGGCATTGTAAATAACCCAATATGAACCAATGAAATTGAAGCTACCAACTAAGAAAAGTCTAGGTCCTGACAGGTTCACTACTGAATTCTACAAGACATTTAGAAAAGATCTAATGTCACTATTCCCCATATTCTTTAGTGAAACTAAAACAGAAACAACTCTCTAAACTCATTCCTGGAAGCAAGCAATACTAAAACGAGGGAAAAATCCAACCAAAAAATAGAACTACAGGCCAATCTCCCTAATGAACAAAAATGTAAAAATCCTCAGTAAGATACTGGCAAACATAATGCAACAAATCATGAAGAATATTATACTGTACGACTATGAATGGATGTTGGGCTATGTCAAATGATTTTTCTGCATCTACTGAGATGATCATGTGGTTTTTGCCCTTTGTTCTGATTTTAGGCACATGCAAAATGGAAGAGTTTCAGGGTTAGACAGGCTTCCACCCAGATTCCAGAAGGTCTATAAGGCCAGGTATGGGTCCCAGAGAAAGCAGTGTGTGAAGCTGGGAGTGTGAAGCCAAAGGTGCAGTGGAGGTCCCAGAAGTTTGGAGAAGCCAGGAATGTGCATTGTCTGAGGACTACTACAATGAGGGGGTAGAGTAGGCCCAAAAGAAAAGCCATGGGAGCCACAACACTAGAAGTGCCACAGAGGCAGAGCCATCCAAGCCCTTTCAAGTGCTTATCTTGCCACAGGTTACCTCGGATGCTACAAATGGAACTATAGAGATTAACATTTGCCCTGCTGGAATTTGGACTTGTTTTGGTCTCATTCCTTTGTATTCATTTTTATAACTTTTGTAATGGAAATGTCCATCTTATGCCACTGAATGCTGGAAGGGTTTAACTTTCTTTTCATTTGTGCAGGAGCTCACAGCTAAAAGGTTGCCTGAGATTTCAGAGGAGACTTAGGACTTGGGACTTTCTAATAATACTAAATCTGTTAGGGCTTTGAAAACTCTTGCAGATGGACTGAATAGCTTTTGCATAAAAGAATGTAAATGAGTCTTTGGGGGACTGGGTAGAATGTCATGACATGTCTAGATGTCCCCTAAAGCCTCATGAAGTCATGGGGGCAGGCTTCCAGAGTCTGTGATTGATTTATTGGTCAAATGCTAGGATTTTATTTGTTGATTATTATTTTCAATGTTAGGATTAAGGGTATGAACGCTACACCTAGACAGGGTGAGTAGTCTGCATACAATATAAGAAACAGAAAGAGGTACATCTCTATGTCTCTCTTCTATCTTTCTCTATATTTCTCTGTCTTTTTATCTCCATGTCTCTGTCTCTCTGTCTCTCTTTCTGCCTCTCTCTCCCTGTCTCTGTCTGTCTGTCTCTATCTCTAGTTCTCTGCCTTGGTCTCTCTTTCCCTCACCTCTGCTTGCTGCTTTTGCTGTCTTTTGCCCCGTGAACAGCTGCCCTCTGCCATGTGTCATTCTTCCTTGGAGCCAGCTGACTGTAGACTGAAACCTCTATACACTGTGAGCTGAATAAGCCTTTCTTCCTTTAACTTTGGGCATCAGATATTTTGTCTCAACAACAAGAAAAATAACTAAGACATGGCTCTTCCTCAAACTCAAAATTACCATGAAATATACAAATTTTTTGAAATATAATTTTTTAAATTGATTCAGGATACTGAAGCAATCACAACAGTACAACTAAGGACATTCAGAAGAGAAATTTCCAAAAATGTTTCACGAAGTGGCAAGATTGATGAGATAAATGTTTTGAAAGTAGGGAGAGTATTTTGAGGGGAACTAATAGAAATGTATCTATTACTGTAATACTTTTTTTTTCTTTTTCTTTCTCTCTCTTTCTTTCTTTCTTTCTTTCTTTCTTTCTTTCTTTCTTTCTTTCTTTCTTTTTTTTTTTTTGGCAGTACCGGGGATTGAACTCAGGACCCTGTGCTTGCCAGGCAAGCGCCCTTTCTACTGAGTTATCTCCCAGGCCCTGTAATATATTTTTAAAACTTTAAACGTTCACCATCTTTCCAATCATATCTCATATAGTAGTTATTGTCATTTCCAAAATACTAAAACCTGTACCAGTTATGGAGGACTGAAGAAATTATAAGAAATATAAAAATAATAGAATTTAAAGTAAAATATTAATAGAAATATGAAATAATAGTTAAAGCATACTTCTATACTACTTACTTTCTATAACATTAAAACAATTTTTCATTCAGTATCAATAGAGTGCTAGCCACTGGAATTAACAATGAGCCTCAAAACGTATTAAGTTACGAGAAATAGCCATAAAATAATCAAACAGTGTATAATAATACTGCTAAAAATATGAATGTATGGCATGATATTTTAAAATCACAATATTAGAGGGCTAGGAACTTGTCATATGTGCTTGTGTTGGGAAGTATGGGTTGATCAGAGAAGTGTACATAAATACACACAGTAAAGGATACTTAGCTAAGAGTTGAGAATAAACAGGGATTTACTTGAAGGAGAGAGAGAAGGATAACGGTCTGTCATGTAAAAGGGACCAAAGATCCCAGGACCCTCAAGTAGAAGGGAATATAATGAGTGTGAACAGTAATAGCTCAGAGTGGTTGGAGTAGCTTAAGATGTGAATAATGAAGCTGGAGAGATGGGCCAAGTCATGCAGGGTTATGTGGCTTTTTTGAGAGATCATTATTGTACTTTATCTTCTCTTCCAAACATCTGTACACAGCTAACACCATTACCAAACAAAGACCTGCTCATCCAAACAGCTGGTACTGACATTTATTTAATCAAGCAGAAATTGCTATCTAGTATCTGGATACTTTGTGAAAGTCAGACTGAAATTGACTTGAAATCAAATTATTAATCTGTATGTAGATTTCTTGTTATATAGGTCTTGCTTGATTTTGGTCTTAACCATCCAGCAGAAAGGTAAAAAACGATATATAAGGGGTGAAGCCATGTTGGTATGCTGGGCTGGAAAGGGCTCAGGTCAACAACGTCTGACATTGCCAGTCCTGCGGATGACTGACTACTATTATGGACTACTGGACTATATTGGAATATTTTGCTGAATTCGCACACCTACAATATTTAAATGACAATGGAATACCCATCTCTAACAAAACTAAACAAAAAAAGGGGATACAAACAAATGACCATCTTGTATCTATATATACAAAATAGGATAGATAGATATACAGCTACTTTCTCTTAATTCAATGAGAAGAAAGATTCGTACTAATAGTGTTTGGATAGGATATCGTGTCAGCATCTTGTACTATGAATAACCACTAAGAAGATAACAACATGCAATATATTAATTATTGAAACTCTCCTACTAATCGGTTTTGAAACTGTCTCATTGCTATTTGTTTCTCAATAAAATTATTTTAAAAACCCCTAAAATTATCACATAAATTAATTCAGACTTAACTAAACAATTTTAAAAGTCAACCATATTACACATTTTTCTGTAAATACACACAATTCAAGTTAATAAAACTTAAAATATTGCTAAAGTTCCTTAATAGAACTTATTTGTAAACATTTTGAATAAAAAGATTGGTATTAAAAAAGTTGTTTTTAATTCTTCAAAATAAAAGAAAATTATAAAAAAATCTGTATGTAGAATCTTTAAAAATCATCCAGGGAACTCTACATAAATTACATATTTTGTATTTATGATACAAGATTTTATTTTAGATGTGAAGAAGACCTAAGTAAGGATCTGTATACCATGTCTGCACATAAAATGATCAAATAGTAATCATAACACTCTTAATTGATTTTAAGACATTTAATTGTTTATTCAGTATTTTAATACAAGCTATATGTAAAATACTTTCTTCAAACATCTTTGTATAGCTTAAAAATGAATTTGATATCCAATTTAAGAATCTGTCCCAACAATAAAAGTAGAACACTTATCTGCTAATCCTCCTGTACATACATGAAAAGATCTATTCAAGGTTATATGGATCTTTGTTGCACCACCTAATCCTACAGGGAGAATAATACTTAACCTTACCTCAGAGAACAGTTAATTTGATGAACATAGCTTGAATTTCAGAAAGACTTGGTTAACAATTGAGAAGTCTTCTAAAGCATCATGATTTAGAGAACTAAAAATTGTATATTTTTTCAAACTTACCTGATATAAATAATCTTCAAATACAAAATAGTAATCATCATTGCTTGCTGTCAACTTCACATCCTATAATTAAAAACAAAGTATAGTCAAAGGAGCCTAGATGAATCTTTCTGTAGTCCTAAAGAATACATACAATATTTAATATTACTCTGCTATAAAAAAATAATCTCAAAGTCTTTGTAGGAAAGTGAATGCAACTTGAAGCTATACTCAGAAGTGAAATAAACCAGCCCCACATGTGTAAATATTGTATTGTTTCCCTAGTGTACGAACTCAAAAGAAGAAATAAAAATTAAAAGGTATAACACAGTTAAATGGAAAGATAACTCAAGGATTAAACAACGTAGAGAAAGAAAGGAAAGAAGTTAGAAAATATGGCAGGGGAAAAACCATACATTTATATAAACAAGATGGTTAAGGCAATGGTCTTAAGAATCTCCATTAGGTTTTTGAAAATAGCAATTAATGGGTAGAATTCTCACTCCGACAAACTCTATATGCTGATATCTGTGAACTAAGCAACTACAGTGAAGACAGCAACATGTAATACTAAAACCACGCTTGAAATACCTGTCATTTCGGTCTTCTAAATGTGTACTGCTTCTAAAGTCATATCAATTATTGTTATACTCTCTCTAAAGTAAATGTTCATAAAAAAAAAAGTAATAACAGAAAATGTGAGACAAGGAGAAAAAAGAATGCACGCAATATTTAGAAAAATATTGCAAGGAATTGATTAATTTTTCTAAGAATATAAAAAATTTTCAATTAGCTTTCATCAGTGCTATACATTTGATTAATATAAATGACACATTATTTGATCTCAAATTTCTTACACTTTTTAAAAAGATTCACTAATTACTATTATTTATTTCAATTTTATTTTTTCAACCTAATCATTAAATGTCTCAGCTTAGGGGCCAGGGAGATGGCTCAGTGGAATAAGCGCTTCTCTGGCATGCACAAGGGCCTGAGTTCAATCCCTGGTTCTGCAAAATAAAAAACTAAAAAACTAAAAAATAAAAAAATAAAAATAAATGTCTCAGCTTAAAAAGAAAAGTGATACAACCACAGCATTGAGAAGTTGCCATAACAAGTGGGCTCGCCTTCGCTGCTCAAGTGCACATACTTCCTGTTCTTTCACAATACCAAACATCTCCTACCCTTCATGATTATTTCCTGCAAGTTACCACTAGTGAATGAGAGGCTGCTAACATTGATTTTCTGCCTCCTAAACTCATCTGCTAAAGGCGAGGTCACTACCTCCTCCTCAATAGATTATTAGCTCTATTTATAAAATTACCCTTACTTCCTGATTTGAGACTGTAAAAACACTGTTACTCTCCTTATGAAATTTTAGCTAGCTAAAGAAATATTTGAGGTAGTTTCAAAAGAAAAGAAGGAAACAGTGAATACAAGCTACCAATTCTGAAGGTCAACCTTAACTTTATAGTTATAATGATTACTTAAAATTACTTTTCAAGTTTTATATGTATTACTGTCCATAGCGCAGGCTCTGCATATTGAAAATTCAATTTTAAGTGACAGTGATGAATTGAAAAATGTGCATATGTCTACTTACTTTATAAATTAGACTGTCCACCAAAAGATCATGTTGTATCACATTGGTCTTAAGCTGCTCATAATATAAAATATCCTAAATTTAAAAGAAAATCAAATACTTAAAGATCAATAACTTTTATAAAGTCAGCCTCAACTTTAATGAGCAATAATCACTTATATTATTTAAACAGAAAGAGGATACAATCACTGATTTATTCATTACTATATTCCCATGACTGATCAATATTATATGTTCAATAAGTATGCCTATTCCCATCATTTAAGGTAACATCTGGCATGTTATAGGTATTCAATCAATATTTGCTAAAGTGGTTACACTTTAATAACAAACACAGTATTTCTGAAGTATTTACTAAGTGCTAGGCACTATTTTACCTACTATACATGAACTCACTCCCATACCAAAAAAATGAAACAGATCATTGATTACTATTTACATTAACATTTGAGAAGTTAGGCTAAGATCCAGAGAGAAAACTAACATCTTTTCCAAGCCTACAAAGCTAGAAAATTTTATCCTAATAAACCTGGCCTCAGGACATGTAGTCTAGGAAGATTGCACTGTTTTTCTAATAATTATCTTAAAATAATAAGTTTAAGCATAATAATCACACAGGTGACAAACACAGTCATAGTACTGTATATCTGCTATATTACAGATCAAATGGACTAAACAGAAATCTACAGAGCATTCATCCAACAACTGCAGAATATCCATTTTAGTAGCTCATGAAAATTTCTCCAATACAGATGATTCTGTAGTACATAAGAGAAAAATTAAGGCATCTTGAATTTGAGGTATTTCTAAGAAGTAAAAGTGATTAATCCATGAAGCAACTGCAAGAAAGAGAGCTGAGATCTATCGATTCTAGGTAACTGGTAAATGAAGCTACGGGAGTTGATGAGATTTACCAAGGAATATATGAATGAGAAGACACAGACCATCAAGAACTCTAAATTAAAGGCTGGGAATATATCTTAGAGATGGAGGCACTGACTCAATCCTCGGTACTGACAAACAAGAAAAATGAAAAAGGAGAAAGAATAAATATATGGGGGTGAAATAATGTTTCTGTCTCTACTTTTTCAATTACATATGCAGTTTAAGTGATTAAAAGTAATTGAGGGGCTGGCGAGATAGCTTAGTGGTCTAAAGCGCCTGCTTAGGAAGCTTAGGCAAAGCGCAGGGACCACAGTTCAATCCCCCGGGCACCACATGCTGGCCAGCCCTGCCCCCAAAGTGGGCTGAGCTGGTCACATAAAAAAAGAGAAAAATATTTCTGTTCAAGACTTTTTTATTTTTTTATATTTTTCAGAACTGGACATTGAATTTAGGCCCTTGAGCTAGACAGAGAAGTGCTTATTTCACTGAGCCATCTCCCCAGCCCCGTTCAAGACTTCTTGACAAAAATCTTTTTTAATATGCCATTATAACAATTATTTTGGACTAACTCACTGAAATTTGAATAATTTATTCAGATATACTTCACTGAGACAATACTTTTAGAGCTGAAATTAAAAGTGGTAGAAGGATTTTAATCAATAAAATTACTATTATTTTTCTGAAAATATTAATTTCTGTTCACTAATATTAGATAGACTTGTCACTTTTAATTAATCAATTTATTTATTTTTGTATTTTAGGGAAGGGTCAACAGGGTGTTCAGTGTGTCACTACTAGATCAGACTTGTATTGTAGTGATCCGCCTGTTTACAGTCTCCCAAGAGCTGGGATTACAGGCGCATGCCACCACGTCCTGTCTCTATCCCTGTTTCAGCTCACCCTGGGGGTGGGGCTGGCACAACAGGCTAGGGGATTGAACCCAGCCCCTGCTCCGGCTTGCAGGCACTTTAATCTACTGAGCTATTTGGTCAGCCCCACCAGCTTGAATTTAAAATATTCAGGTGGCAGTTCTAAAAGATAGGTGTAAAAACTGCCTTTGAGCATTGTAATAAATAGTCATTATCTGGGGTTACAGATGCTATTTTTAGAAACATTCTTAATTTGTTCT